ATTCATGATACCTCTGCATTTGTTTTGTTTTCATATTTATTTTCGTTCCACATTTCCAGACACCATTCACTGTCACATCAGGAATTGGGCTTTGTTTAAAAGCATGTGTAAGCACAAAAATCCATCCAAGTTCATCCATTCATTTAATACTTCCACAAGCACTGCAGTTCTTAGGCTTTCATAAAAAGCATGTGTTCAAAATTTAAGTACACACTCACAGCACAATTATGTTTATGATATATTATTTATGTATCAAATATCCCAGCACACCATGATTAGTTTATCTTAGCACACTATTTAATAAACATGTTTCATATCTTGTGTATTTCTTTACAAACACCTTGAAGGGTGATGATTGTTGTAACTACATGTATTCATCATGTGGGTTCCATACTATGCATAGAAATGCATATACATGTGGGGTCCAATCTACATATAGCAATGTGGACTCCATACTACATACAGCAATGTGGACACATATGGGTTGCATGTTACATACATCAATGTGGACACATGTGGGTTGCATACTACATACAGCAATGTGGACACATTGGGTTGCATGCTACATACATCAATGGGACACATGTGGGCTCCATACTACATACATCAATGTGGACACATGTGGGTTGCATGCAACATACATCAATGTGGACTTCATACTACATACATCAATATGGACACATGTGGGTTGCATACCACATACAGCAATGTGGACACATGTGGGATACATACATCAATGTGGACACATGTGGGTTGCATACTACATACATCAATGTGGACACATGTGGGTTGCATACTACATAAAGCAATGTGGACACATGTGGGTTGCATGCTACATACATCAATGTGGACACATGTGGGTTCCATACTACATACATCAATGTGGACACATGTGGGTTGCATGCTACATACATCAATGTGGACACATGTGGGCTCCATACTACATACAGCAATGTGGACACATATGGGTTGCATGTTACATACATCAATGTGGACACATGTGGGTTGCATACTACATACAGCAATGTGGACACATTGGGTTGCATGCTACATACATCAATGGGACACATGTGGGCTCCATACTACATACATCAATGTGGACACATGTGGGTTGCATGCAACATACATCAATGTGGACTTCATACTACATACATCAATATGGACACATGTGGGTTGCATACCACATACAGCAATGTGGACACATGTGGGATACATACATCAATGTGGACACATGTGGGTTGCATACTGCATACATCAATGTGGACACATGTGGGTTGCATACTACATAAAGCAATGTGGACACGTGTGGGTTGCATGCTACATACATCAATGTGGACACATGTGGGTTCCATACTACATACATCAATGTGGACACATGTGGGTTGCATGCTACATACATCAATGTGGACACATGTGGGTTGCATGCTACATACAGCAATGAGGACACAT